TGGAAAAGATTGTCAAGCATGCAATTTCTCAAACCCACATCTTTAATTAGTCTTGTAATTAAGTTGCCTTTTCTTCCTCAACGTTTTGTTAGTAAAACTTTTCTTAACTTAACAGTTCCACAATCAAAACATTTTAACAGCTTGGGCACGATGGTAAAGTTCTATGAAACAGTCTCAATATCTGACACGAAAGTTGACGTGAAACTTGCTTGATATTCATGTAGACCTCGTGAAACAATGAAGCAAAAAAGTTATGGTTCACTAGTGATAGGTCACATAGAAATAGTGAGAACCATTAATTCTTTGGGGAAAGTGGGAACCTGATCATCACGGAAAGATGAGATTGAAGCTGTCGGAAAGCTTTGTTCATTTGTTCTTATTGATTCGTGCTAGTCAACGTACGCATGTGACAATCACACATGAATATGTACGAACACGAGCAGCAAAGCCAACCTGCAATCTTTGCATCTGTATGATTTACTGTCCCCCTTTGAGTGCAGCTATAAGGCCAAGAGTTTAGAAAGAACAAAAAGCCAAAATTTAACAGTCGTTTTGTGACTTATCATCTAATATCAATCATATCACGTAAGTTGGACTTTAATATGAACAAAAATAAGCCACCAAAGAGGAAAATTAGGCTAGTGACGTGCTCTTTGTTTGATTTGTTTATTAATTTTTTATAAATATATTATTTAATATATAGTGAAAGTGATTTAAATTATAATTATAACTATAATTTATATCTTCTAATACGTAACCTTGTAAAAAAGAATTAGCTTACCTTATTTTATTAGTAGCATGAGGCTATAAAATTTAGGTACAAGGGGATCAAATTACGGATCGAATTTGGGTATATCATTGTTCAAGGTAAAATCCATTAATAATTCAAATCAAAATTTGAGTTTATTAATATTCAATTCAAGTTTAGCAAGAACTTAATTTAAAGTCAATTTTGTTGTTCATTTGTTTTCAATTATATTCAATTTCGTTAATTTAATAGTATATTTAGTATTTGACATAGTTTAGAGAATGAAAATAAAGTCGCAGTGTATTTTCTAATAGTGATAATAAGTTATTTAATCAGGTTGACTTTCAACACAGATATTTTGATAGAGAGGTGCAATAATTTATTATATTTGATTGAATCAATGAGATCGTGGCCTAAAAAGGGATGGTCCAATACTCTTTATCCACAATTGAATATTCTGTTCTGCCAAAAATAGGGCCGTAACTCCCGAACTAATAGCTTAAATTGCGTCGAAGGCAGCTTTGATTGCAAGAATACATATATGGAGAGAAAATGATTGATAGCAAGGAAAAGCATTGAACTTTCAGGACTGGATATTATTCTAGAAGACGCCCATGGAAATACCTCTCTTTTACATTATTCTCGTTTTTGCTCCTTTTCTGGCATGTGCTTTAGCAGGGCTACCAGGGTTGTCAGCCTTAAGCCCTGGAAAATCCTTGGCTGTTGAGAACAAGGATGACTATTTGGTCTCACCGAATGGAACGTTTACCAGTGGGTTTTACAAAGTCGGCACAAACGCCTATTGCTTTTCCATCTGGTTCACCAATTCTGCTGACAAGACGGTGGTTTGGATGGCGAACAGGGACAGGCCAGTTAACGGGAAGCAATCCAGGCTAACCCTCCACGAAAGTGGCAACCTGGTCTTACTTGATGCGGATGGTTCGGTTGTGTGGTCAAGCAACACGGTGTCAAGTGCAGCGGTGGAAGTTCGGCTTCTTGAAACAGGAAACCTGGTTCTAACCAACCAAGCAAAGAATGTTGTCATCTGGGAGAGCTTTGATTTTCCCACGGACACACTCCTCGTATCCCAACGGCTTACCAGGAACACAACGTTGGTCTCCATGAGAAGTAGAGGTACATATCTATCAGGATTCTATAACATGAAATTTGATGATAATAACGTATTGGATCTCCTATACAATGGTCCTCTGCTTTCAAGCGTCTACTGGCCAAATTCAGTTTCAACCATATTCTATAATGGTCGAACACCTTACAATAGTTCAAGAATAGCAGTTATAAATGAAATTGGTAGTTTCAAATCAAGTGATAATCTTCTCTTCAATGCATCTGATTATGGGGTTGGCCCGAAAAGGCGTTTAACATTGGACTATGATGGAATATTAAGATTGTATAGCTTAGATGAGTCAACTGGGTCTTGGAAACTCTCATGGAGGCCTGGTGGTTTAGACTCTTGTCTGGTTCAAGGGTTGTGTGGAGTGCATGGAATTTGCAGCTACAATCCATTGCCAACTTGCATATGCCCCACGGGTTTCAAGAGAAATAATCCTTCAGATTGGTCAACGGGCTGCTCCCCGTTGTTTAATCTGACTTGTGATCCAGCCGAATTGGACTTTGTGGAGCTGCATAAAACGGATTACTATGGATATGATTTAAACACCTACGAAGCTGGCATTGCACTGGAAACATGCAGGGAAAAGTGCCTAAACGATTGCAAATGCAAGGGCTTTGGTTATGCACTGGATGGAAAAGGTCAGTGCTTCCCAAAAGGTGCTCTCCGAAATGGTTACCGTAATCCAAGTAATCGTATGATTATGCACATCAAGGTTCCCAAAGGAATGGTGAAGTCTATTGAAGAGACAGAGGCGGTCACAACAAATGTCTTGGATTGTTCAACTGGACAACTTATTCTTGAGAATAACAGCCCTGAAGATCGCAAAACTAACAAAAACGGGTACATGACATATCTAATCGCCTTTGCAGCTTCTGTTGCAGGCATTGAAATGATCTGCATTGGTTTAGGGTGGTGGTATGTGTTCCGAAACCATGCTGATACAGTCGATGCAGGTTACATTGCACTAGGCTTGGGATTTAAACGTTTCACTTATTCGGAGTTGAAAAGGGCAACAAAAAACTTCAAAAAAGAGATAGGAAAGGGGGGATTTGGCACAGTCTATAAAGGGGTTCTAGACGATGATAGAGTTGTGGCTGTGAAGAGACTAGAAGGTGTTCTGCAAGGAGATGCACAATTTTGGGCTGAGGTGAGCATCATAGGGAAAATAAACCACAGGAACTTGGTGAAGCTTTGGGGTTTCTGTGCTGAAAATGAGAACAAGATACTGGTTTATGAATATGTGGAGAATGGATCATTGGATAAAATCTTGTTCTTTGATTCACCCAAGATTTTAGGATGGGATCAGAGGTTTAATATTGCGGTAGGGACAGCAAAGGGTTTGTCATATCTCCACGAGGAATGCCTGGAGTGGGTACTCCACTGTGATGTAAAGCCTCAGAACATACTAATAGATAGCCATTTTGAACCTAAAGTGGCAGATTTTGGTATGTCAATGCTTTTCAAGGACGGTAATGATAGAGGATTTTCTAAGATCCGGGGTACAAGAGGATACTTGGCTCCGGAGTGGATGATGAACCTGAAAATCGATGCAAAGGCAGATGTGTACAGCTATGGGATAGTCCTGTTGGAACTATTGACAGGAAAGAGTGCATCTGGTCTTGAATCAGCTACTTCACTAGATACAGAATGCAGCAACTTGGTAGCGTTGACCACTGAAGGCATAAGAGAAGAAGAGCTTGAGAATATAATTGATCCTAAACTGAAAGACAACTACAGCAAGGAGCAGCTCAAAAGAATGGTGGAAGTTGCTCTGCTGTGTGTTAAAGATGATCGCAACTCAAGACCAGCTATGAGTAAAGTCGTTGAGCTGCTAATGGAAATGATGAGTGAAAACCAGATGAAGACATTGAAGAGATCAACTGATTAATCAGGTTTGAAATCCAAACTTTTTTTTCTCTTTTTTGTACAATGATTGAATTCCAATGTTTAAAGGTTTATACTTAGGATTTATAGTGCTTTGAAGAAGAAAATTTGATCAATTGCTGTAACTTCAAATTTTACGAGCATAACCAATACATCAGAGAAAGCATGCCATATTTGGTCCAAAAGACTGATTTCTTCATAGCCAGAAACTGTTACTGTTTATCCATAGCAAGCTGGTTCGATGATTGATCACCCATATACATTAGCAGACAACTTCATTCACTTTCTTATATTGAAAGATTTCTTCGTAAATATATTGTCAAATCATAGGTAGAACAACTTGAGTTATCTGACAGGCTCATGTCAGCAGTAGATTACTCTCCAACCAGCAAAGAACAGCCTCGATACTGATAGATACTCCAACAATGAATCTTTAACCGACACAGACTTAGTATTTGTCCCCTGGTCCTTGTGGAAAATCAGACATGGTACAAACCAATTCGTACGCTTTCAATTTCAGGCACAAGGTTGACATCTGAATGGAACCCAAAATCCCTTTTCAGCAGGCTGACCAGTTGTTCAAAACTTGGAAGTATGGAACCATTTCCCACATTCCCAGGAACAGGAGCTCAGGATTGAGGCTTGGTCAAAAACCGGAAAGGAAGAAAAAGTTGTTGATTAGAAAAGAACAAAGGAACATCAATAATGGTGAGAATGATAAACAAGCAAAAGAATTCTTCCATTGCACGTGATCGAAAACGCCAAGACCTCAACTTGCAACTTGAAAAATGCAAATTGAAACAAAGCATTGATGCCCTAAGCTCTTACGTGAGTCATGATTAATTGACCGTGTTGAAGTTTGAAGTTCAATTTGCTGCCTCAATTATCTCAATTTTATGATTCTTTCATTGTTTAAATAATATTTTTTTAATTAATAAAAAAGATTTGAATTTATTTTTTAAATAAGTAAATTATGTATTAATTAATGAACTAAATATTTAATATAGTGCCAATAGTAATTATTTTTAAATTCATAAAAATGGTGGTAAATTGATTAAAACTAGTAGAAGGATCAAATTCAATTTTTAAACTTTATTTAATTATGAATTGTTTCTTGTATTTGACAAATGAGGAGAGCTTTAGCATTTTGAAGCTGAACTCCCACACGTGGTAAGTGACACCAAAACCCCAGAGCTACAATGTCACACAAACGTGTCTGAACATCCAACCGCTCGTGCAAATCCTCAGCAGAATTAGCGCCAGCAGGCATTATTCAGTAGCCAGTAGCTCGTCAACAACGCGGGCTGGGAAAAGAAAAAGGGTTTGCGGAATCTAACGTCTCTCCTACTATAAAAACCCACCACTCAAATTGCACGCCGTCGCGTCTCCGCCTCCACTTTTGACACTCCAAACATTCATTTTACAAGCCAAAAAACAAGCCCTTTCTCTGTCTCTCTCTCTCTCTCTCTCCAAACAAAGGTTTGTTCTTTGTAAATTCTGCTGACTTTCCTTTTGTTCAATGTTTTTTTTTTTTGGTTTTTGATTCGAAGCTAAGTTGTGTTTGGTATTTTGATCAGGTTACAGCTTTTGCTGTTTCCTCAATTTGTCGACACCAAATAATGTCGGGTTTTGGGTTGTTGCATTTGATTAGTGTTAAGAACGATGTTTTTTTAAGGAAGTTATGGGACCAGGATTTGAGCTTCGTGAAGAGTAGTAGTAAAAGATTCCTTTTTTCAGTGAAGAAGAAACAAAGGTTAGTGATTTTAAGCTTGTCTCAACCGCCAGAGGCAGGGCCTCAATCTGGTGGGACCACGACTATAGTAACTAAGGAAAGTAGTGGGAGTAATATTAGAAAAGAAGAAGTTAGGATTTTGGAGAGTGGTTATGAGGAAACGAAGACAGATGAAGGAAATGGTGGGGGTTTTTTTGATGGAAATGGTAGAAATGGGAAATTTAATAATGGCGGTGGCAGAGGAGGTGGTGGAGGCGGCGATGGCGATGACGGAGAAAAGGGTGATCCGGAAGAGGAGGAGTTTGGACCAATTATGAAATTTGAGGAAGTTATGAAGGAGACAGAGGCTAGAGGGGCTACTCTTCCTGCAGATATGATGGAGGCAGCAAAAAGTGTTGGGATTCGTAAATTGCTTCTCCTTAGATATTTGGATTTCCAGGTAATGTTAGTATACGTTTGCTGATTTTGTAGAAATATAAGATTCTATTGATTCTGCGTGGTGAAACAAATATAAAACCAAGTTAATACGTGTTAGAAGAAATAGTTGGGTGACTGATAGCGAAAGGTTCAATTTTTTGTATTAAAAGTTTGAATGGGTTTTTGACTGGAGTATTTTTGATGTTGCTGTTACGTAGGGGTCAAGCTGGCCTCTAGGATTTGCAATGAGGTCATGGGGAATGCTTCGGAACCGGATGTTGGCTGACCCATCTTTTCTTTTTAAAATTGGAACAGAGGTTTGTTTAATGTTCATCTTATTTTTTAATTGTAGTACGTATGCAAGTTGTATGTGTGCTTGCAGGAAAAATGCAATTATACTGAATAAAGGGTCAATAATTATAGGATGACTTTCGTATAAAACTGTAACGGATGTGTGAAAATTAACAACTCTGGGCTCCATTTTATAATGAATTGGATGAGTTTATCTAATTTGAAAGCTGAAACTTGAAGAAATAGTCTGTAAGATTATTATGTGCTAGAGAGGAAGCCAAAGCTTAGATATTATAAAAGCTCTGTTTGTCTTATATTGCATAATATCGGAGGGAGAGCACCTTCAATGTGGTGTTTGCATTGCTAATTTTCCTGTAAAAGGGTAACCGTCATTGCTTTTATCATAATGCAGATAGTCATTGATTCTTGTTGTGCTACCCTTGCGGAAGTTCAAAAGAGAGGCAAGGATTTCTGGGCAGAATTTGAGTTGTATGTTGCTGATCTTTTGGTTGGAGTGGTGGTGAACATTGCTTTAGTTGGTATGTTGGCACCATATGCTCGAATTGGGCAACCATCAATATCCACAGGGTTCCTTGGGCGCATGCAACATGCTTATGGAGCTCTCCCTAGCAGGTTATCATAAGATGCAACAAACAATTACTTGATATAGATGCATCATAATGTGCTTAGTTTGCTTCTTAATGCATCTTGTGTTATGTCATCTGCATCTTTGAAGGTATAAAAAATTTCTTTATTGAGTCTCTTTATTTATCATCTCATACAGTGTGTTCGAAGCTGAAAGGCCAGGTTGTAGATTTACGGTAAAACAGAGAATTGGTACATACTTTTATAAGGTAAAACTTTAATTTATGACAACTGTAATATAGCATTATAGTGTCATCTTGGGTGGATTGATGTTAATGATCAAAATTTTTTCAGGGAGTCCTGTATGGAGCAGTTGGATTTGCATGTGGTATTATAGGCCAAGGAATTGCAAATTTGATCATGACTGCCAAGAGGTACATGCATACTATATTTCTATGACATGCTTAATTCCAGTTCACTTATACTTTTTTGGTGTTCATTTTCTCTGAAATATAAGTTGTTTTTAAGATCTTTATTATATACTTCAATCATTCAGCATTCTGTTTTTTTCTTCCTTTTTAAAATTTCAATCGTATATTTTGAGGGTTACAAGAAAAAAAAAATCTTGCCCCTTCTTCCTGCTTTGAATGATGATGCATCATATTGATTCCCGGTGCACCATCCATGTAACTTTTGTCTAGTTTACTTGGAACTAGTCATTACTTTATTCTGTCAATTGAGGAAAATGGAGCATAGATTTTACTTTTCCACAAGCTCAAATCTACCATGTGCTATGGATCTCTTTGTTTTGTGGGGTTGAGGGAATTGAGACAGGGTCAGCTGAAAACCAAGTATCTTTTGATGGACAGTGTCTGGTTCATAAAATGATTGAATGCAGAAACCACCTTTTTCAACTTTTCTTACAGAGATCTTAAGGATTTAAGTGGATGTCTAAATATGCTGTATATGAGATTTAGACTGCATGGGAAAATGATGTTTTCCCATTACGCAAGTTGCAGTTGTTCTGATGTTACTTCAAACCACCTCTTCTAATCATGTGCTTTGGATAAAATTTTATCTGAGATTGATTCATTTTATGGAAATTGGGCTGCTATTGTGAAGCAATCAGTAGCTTTTAAGCACACATCCATTTTCTTGAAGGTTCTCATTCCTTACCATATACCTTTCCTTCCCTCAGGAGCATGAATAAGTCAGAAGAGGACATACCAGTTCCACCTCTTGTGAAGAGCGCAGCTTTGTGGGGTATGTATGCCTTCATTCCTTGAATAATGATTGTAATAATCCATGGAACCATTGCGACGGTATGATCTGAAAAATTATGTTGTTAATGACCTGATATGAAGTTCTGTCCACTGTTTTCATAATTGTGGTTTGTCAGTTAATTGTGTCCTTAGTGCATACGATCTGTCTAAATTAATTGAATTGACCTGTAGAGTCTTTATTGGTCAGCATTGAGATTTCCGCAAGCTTAGATCATCCAGCTTCTGATCTGCATATCCTAACTGGACGCATTTCCTCCCCAACTGGCAGGTGTTTTTCTTGCAGTTTCTTCCAATACTCGATATCAGATCATTAATGGATTGGAACGGTTGGTGGAGGCATCACCTTTGGCCAAGCAGGTTCCACCTGTTGCCATGGCTTTCACCGTTGGTGTGCGATTTGCCAACAACATATACGGTGGGATGCAGTTTGTGGACTGGGCTAGATGGAGTGGAGTGCAATAAGCCAATAACCGCACATCTTTTCCCATACATTTTGGTTAGAAATAGCCTTTCCTAACCATTCTATTCGGGATAGAGTTAAAAATTTCAACAACTTTGAATTTGGATGTTAAACATCAATGTGGTAGCCAAGAATCTTTTGAATTAAAGCCAAATTGCTGCTTGTGAGGTTGAAAAGCATAGAATCCTGGCACAAAGCTATCGCCTTTTTTGTATCTTTCTTGATAGGAGATGTATCAAACCTTGATCATTAGTTGGAGCTTTTCAAGAATGTTAAAACTCACAAGTTCTTCTTCTTTGCAGTAAGAGTAAGCAAATGTTCTAGCTAATGTGAAGATAAATTCTCGTTGTCCTGATTCCTTGTAACTTTAAAAAAACAAACAACCTACTGCACCCTTTTAAGGGAGAGGTTGATCTGCAGGCATAGGGTCCAATCCCAGGACCTGGCAACCCGGGAGGGGGGTTCATGCCCTTTCAACAGCTTTCCTTTTGTCTGGTAAAAGCAAATGAACAGGCTTAACGCAAACTATTTTCCATGAGCTGCATCTTTTTATTTTTTAGTAATATTTGGTGACAATAACCATTATACCGATTAAAAATGAAAACCAAGATCTCCTCAACGAGAGAACAGTAAAATAGTATAAAAATAAAGCATACCAAGAGCTATTTTCGTCCAAAACTTGGTCCCAAATTCACGTTTCCACGTCAAGTGAAGTTGCAATGACAAAGTGTTTAATCAGTTAGTATAGTACAACCTTTCTTGATTTCGATAAAAATAGAAAAATGACTTTACTGTTGAACAACAGACTTTTTTTTAGCACAAAACTCGTGAACTTATGTACGATATATATTCCCCTGTTTTCGCAGCAGGGAATGAGGCAAGAGGAAATAGAAAAAGGAAAGGGAAGGGAAGAACATGACTGAGAAAGAGATGGGAGATGGTTCCAACTCTTCCTTAGCAGAACAAAACTCACAATCCCCTCCACGTTCATCACCTTCGTCAAAGAAGGAACCTGGAGGATGGAGAGCCGTCAAATACATTCTTGGTAATTCATTTGCAAAACTACCAATCACACTGTATTCAATCTTTAATTCCTGTTTCCTGTTTTGTCTTTCAGTGATTTCAGATGAATTGAAATGGATATGTGCATGTTTTCCTGATCATGTTTGTGGTTTTTCTTTTTCATTTGAAAAGGAAACGAGACTTTCGAGAAACTTGCTTCCATGAGTTTGGTTGCGAACATGACTGTTTATTTGCGGACTAAATACAACATGGATGGGATAGTTGTGGTTAACGTGATTAATATTTGGTCTGGTTGCTCCAACATCACAGCAATAGCTGGTGCTTTGGTTTCTGATACATTTCTGGGACGCTACCGCACTCTCCTCTTTGGTTCAATCTCCTCGTTACTGGTAAATTCAATATGCTTTTCTCTAAATCCACGATATAGATATAGAAAACTCGGAGGGATATAGGAGAATGAGAGATCTCGGAATGTTTAAGAAATTGGACCTTTGATGTTCAATACAATGTGTTATATTATTCCTTCCAAGTCCAGTTTATGAACATGGATATCCAACATGAAAGATTCAAATAAATATTTTCTGCCATGTTGGATCCTGGTATTTGCTTTTAGTGTGCATCCAGAGATTTCATTTTTGAAATGCTTAAACAGAAATGAAAGAATTCTTCTCCAATAATGTCACTTGCATGAACTATGATTGTAATTTTGCATATAAACTGCATATTTTGTTCTGAAAGTTCTGGTCAATCAGGGAATGGCGACCATGACCCTTACTGCTGGTGTGCCTAAATTTAGACCTCCAACCTGCATAGACGAAAGGAATTGCATAGAGCCTCGGTTCTGGCAGATGGGTGTCCTTTTTGCTGGTCTTGCATTTATGGCCATTGGTGCTGGAGGCATTAGACCCTGCAACATCGCATTTGGGGCTGATCAGTTTGACACCACAACAAAGAAGGGAAGAGCACAACTAGAGAGCTTCTTCAATTGGTGGTACTTCTCATTCACCTTGGCCCTCGTGGTAGCTCTAACTGCGGTGGTCTACATTCAGACCAATATCAGTTGGGTTATTGGTTACGCCATTCCAACCAGCTGCCTTTTCCTTTCGATTGTCATTTTTGTGACTGGACACCACGCCTACATAATAATGAAGCCACAAGGAAGTGTTTTTGTTGACATGGCTAAAGTGATCACAGCAGCCATTAGAAAGCATAGTTTAACTGCTTCAGGACACTCCTTTTATGATCCTGAACTCCAGAAATCAGGATCAAAACTCTCACGCACCAAAAGGTTAAGTTGCCTTGACAAGGCAGCTATAATTGCTGATCCAAATGAGTTGGATGACCAAGGCAAGCCCAAGAATGATTGGAGATTATGCAGTGTTGAACAAGTAGAAAATCTAAAGATGTTGCTTGGAATGCTGCCTGTTTGGGTAGCAGGAATTGGTTGTTTCATAACCATGGAACAGCAGGGTACACTTGGAATTCTTCAAGCGATTCAGACAAACAAAACGCTTGGATCCCGTTTCGAGGTACCCCCAGCCTGGATGGGCCTCTCATCAATGATTGCCCTTGCAATATGGATCTTCATTTATGAGCAAATTTGGGTACCTCAGACACGGAAAAGAACGGGGAAAGCTAAAAGATTGTCCACGGCACAGAGGATTAATATCGGTATTGTCATTGCAATTGCGTGCTGCTTATTGGCTGCAGTTATTGAGAAGCAACGTCGAAAGGCAGCTTTGAAACAAGGTTCCTTCGAGTCACCTATGAGCATTTTATTCCTCCTCCCACAGTTTGCCTTATCAGGTTTGATCGAAGCATTTGCTGCAGTGGCCCTAATGGAATTTCTCACCACGCAATTGCCAGAGTCCATGAGAACTGTTGCTGGAGCAATCTTCTTTGTCAGCTTATCTATTGCAAGCTACATGAACTCCATTCTTGTCAACATCGTCTACAGAATAACTAGCAAGGATGGGAACCCGCCATGGTTAGGTGGCCATGACCTCAACAAGGATATGCTTGAGAAGTTCTATTACCTCGTGGCTGGCATAGGAGCCCTGAATCTCCTTTATTTCAATCTCTTTGCAAGGCGTTTCTTGACCAATGCTGTTGTTGATAAAAAAGGATCAGAGGGTGAACAGAACAATGAAGAGAAAACATTGGAAGTGGCATAAAAAAAAAAAAAGATGGTTCCAGATATAGTCTAGTGATGGTCACACTCAGACCATTCTTTGAAAAGGAGGATCCAAGTTTCGAGTTTCTTTCTCTGAATAATATACTAATTGCGGATAGAGAGAGCAAAAGGATGAGGATCATGATCAGCAATCTCCATTGATGTTGTCATTTACCAAGATATTCACTAGGCGTGATTGTCTATTCATCGCCCTGCTGGCACCGTCCCATTTGTTTAAGTTCTTTACCCCCTCCTCCTCTTCCCTGGAATTTTTATCTGTTTCTACTTTGAAAACGATGACATGTCGATCACCAATCAATCTATGAAGTTGGTGATGTGAATTCGATTGCATCAAATGTTTGAATTAACTGATAACCCCAAAAAAAGAGAAACTGACAACTGAACAGTCATCGCCTATGCCACGTGGCCCATATGCACTTGTCAAGCTTCTTACCAGGGGCCAGGGCAAGGGCCAACTGAAAAGTGCCATCAAGGCAAGTTTCCAATTCTAACGGCTATGTCGATTTCCCGCCCTCTCTCTCTCTTTATATACACCTCAATAGGCCAAGTAACCTCTCCCCGCAATGCCCACATCAAGCCAACAGAGCCTGTTTGAGCCCTTGATTTATTCTCTCTTCTTTCTTCCAAGAAACCCAATGACCAAGTTTGACGCCCCCCCGTCGACTCATCCCTTGTTTCTACCCCACCCCCACCACCTCATTGCCACCATTACTCCCACCAAGAAACGCCTAAGTACCTCCCTCAGAGACGACCTCGACCACACCCATCACCATCACAAACCAAGACCAAGACAAAGACTCCCAAGACTCCACCAACACAAACCGATCCCGAAACGACCACGTTAGCCCCCGCACGCCCTTCAGTCCATGGTGATAGGCACCATTTTCGGCCAACGCAAAGGCCACGTCTGGTTTTGCATCCAGCACGACCGTCTCTCACAATGCCTCTCTCCTCCTCGAACTCCCCATCCCAACTCACCAAACTCGTCCAAGAAATGCGCTGGGGCATCGTCCGCATTGCCCTCGAGTGTGACCATTCCGAACTCAGCGCCTGTCCTCTCCACTCGGTCCTTCTTTGGACCATGTACTGCAATGGTCGAAAGATAGGGTTTGCTACAAAAAAAAAGCCAGTCACCATACACCGGCTGATGTAAAAGACCATGCAGTCTACAACAGTGGCGGCCGGTGATACCTGCTGGACTCGGATCGTCAGATCGGAGGAGATCATACATGAGGGCTAATTATGAGCATGTTGTTGGTGACGCTGACTCTGAGTCGTTTCACCTTGTGAACCCGGATGATGCGCACTGGCAAGAACTAAGCGTGTTCTTGATGAGATCAAGGTGAAAAGGCTGAAGAGAGGAGAGGGGTTAATTTTATGGGTCTTATCTGGAATGAGGTTAATTTTATGTGTTCTTGTTGGTTTCTTTGTAAGAAGAAGAGGAGTGGTTTTCTCTTACCCTCTGCGAACTATCTGGAATTTGGTTGCTCTTGGGGTTCTTCCAAGAGGCATGGAAGTTGAGCTTGGTGAAGTTCACTTCACTTGTAATTTTATTTTACAATTTTTTTTCTTTTCTTGAAAGAGAGAGATCAGTTTAAGGGAGGCTGGTCAAAGAGTAGCAGGTTGATATGTCAGATTCTACAGGCTTTTTCTTTTTCATTTTTAGCTCTCAGGCTTTAAATTCTTACAAAAATTTTCAAGTCATGAAACACACATTGCATTAGCTTCATAGAACAATCATTTGGAATTGCTCGAACTTTATTTCAATTCGCCTTTGTGCTCTTTCTTTATGGCTTCGAAATATACATTCACCACGTCCTTCCATGATCATGGAAATCGAATATCATGATTATTCTTCCGGAGTGTTTTCGTTTTCCTGTCTCTCTTCCATCAGTTCTCAGACAATTGTTACTTTGACAGCTCTAACTTGCTTTACAATCAGGTCACATCATCACTCCAACTCTGGCTATGTATTTTGAAAATCAAGATTCTCGAGCTCAGGAACTCTTTGGCTTTTTCAGATCGAAAGTCCCCATCAGTTTTTCTCTTACAAATTCGATTCACAGACCCCGCTGGGTGTTGGTTGGACCATGTATGAGTGCACTTGCCAGATATACAAAAATTTCTAAAAGGGCAAAAAGGAACTCTATAATCAAGCTATTGTAACGCTCTTTTTCTCCTCTTGACAAGTAAACATGTAACTTAGCTAGAAATGAGACCAATTTTCTGGTACCATGAATGGTCTTTGTTGGAAAATCAATACTACCTACAAGAATAGAAAATGAATAGAATTATTACAGCCATATGTTTTGGAGTTCCAAATTGCAGGGTGGGTACTTGTAATTTCATCTACCATTTCCCTCCCTGAAAAGATTACTTTTGTTGCATCTTGCTTGATTTTTTTCCTTTTAGCCCTTCTGTCAGGCCAACTGTTTTGATCATAACAGTTCCCAATGCATGCAAAATTTCAGAACTTGTGAAGAAAATATAACCATTCAATTTCTACCCCTCAATCTTTTGCTTTTGCTAAAGAATACCCTTTTACATTTCACTATATAAAGTAATCAGCTTAGAACCTTCTCCCATTCATCAACTACAGTCACAAGTTTTCCCCCAAGAAAAAAAAAACTAGAGTTAGCAACTTAGAAGTGAAATTCCATTTTCCTCATAGGAGGATGCTGGAAGGGAAAGCTGTAGTGCGTGAAACTGATATGCCAGAAGAGATGCAGAGCCGTGTGATGGAGTTAGCATATCAGGCTCTTGATCTACATGAGGTTTCAGACTGTCAGTCCATAGCTCATTACATCAAACAGGTCTATTCTTAACCCTGGAGCCTTCTGTTAGAAGTTTCATAAAGCAGTAACAATGAATATTTATAGTGCCATTCCATTCTTTTTATTAAAGAAACACAAATTCGCCACCATAAAGAGAATGAGTATATATTTGTATAATCTTTGTTTGGATCGAATGTTCAAAAAATATCATGACGAACGCAAACTAGAAAGGCTGGTTTTCTTTATATAGCAATGCTTAAAGAAAGATTCAAAGCTTTCACTTTGCTATAGATTCAAAGCTTCATTTCTGCTGTCCAATCACTACACCTTTAGCCATTCACCTTTAACTTATTCTCAAATCTAATCATTGGAATAGTACTATAGGATGCTACCTACCTTGCTTCATATGGATTTCAATGATTTTTAATGCGATCATCTACAGTTTCACCTTGGTAATACATTTGCATATGCCCATTATTGTATGCTGTATATATGCAGCTCAATTCTGGCCGTCTCATCTAGGCCGCTTACGCGGGCGTCAGTCACGGCCGCCAGGCGCTCGTGTATCATCCCGCGTCCGGTCGCAGGTCCGAGCCGCGGCGGTCCATCCCGACGGACATTGCAGGAGTCGTCAGACTCGACCGTCGAGCTGGCGGCTGAGAGCCGAAACTGGTGCTGGACAGACAGGAATAGAGTCGGATTGCGAGCCAGTGTGACCCATCGATCGCCAGCCGGGACGGCAGAAGTCAGTCGATTACAGCTTGGAAGCGCAACGGTGTATGTTCGGCGGCAACCCTGGCCGAACTAGCTCCACTGGATGGCGAGCAGGACTATCATTGATGTCCGACTGTCTGGGCTCCAAGAGGCTTTCAGCCCCGTGCGTGTTCAGCTGTCGTCTTGTGAAACCAGCGTTGCTCGCACCTCGGGCTGAGTGGTTCGTGGGCGACAGCTGGTCGCGTTACCCCCACTTGGTATCGATCATGGGTAGAGGTGCAAGTGATCGGTGCCATATACAACGATATTGCAGAGCACGGCTGGAGAGGGGCATACGTATGTCACTACGTGGGTGCGGAGCCCACAGGATAGGCCGCCGAAGTCCGCTGTAGGCGGCTGCAGTCGCCAAGTATCACTTTTCTCAAGCGCGGTATACGCGTATATGTGGAGCCGTACGAGGATAACCGGATCGCGAGAGAACTCAGCACGTGAGCGTACCGCCAGCACCGGCGTCAGTCACGATTTGAGTTAATAGACTCCGAGTCGACGGCCTTTCCTGTTTTTAAATATGGGGGTAAGGAGATCTAGTGACTTTAATTGAAAGATTTGTGGTCCTAAGTTCTTCTCACATATAGTATGTAGTTATAAGTATACAATGTATTAGGGAATGAATTCCATATGATGCTTTTCTGAAAAAGGATTTAATTTCTAAGCCAACATTCAGCCTTTTAACAGAAGTTTGATGAAGCTTATGGGCCAGCTGGCAGATTGTGTGGCTGGAAAAGACTACGGATCTTGCATGTTCCATTTGGTGTGGGAGTTTTATTTTCTTCCATGTGGAGATGATGGAGTTTCTCATCTGCAAGGATGGCATGACTTCAGGTGAGACAAGGAAGAGGCCATCGGGTGCTGCAGAAACCAAGAGAAAGTGATTCATAAGAATGGTGGGAAAATAAAGTTTTGCAGGATGATTAAACCAACATCTTTTCCATTCAACTACACTCCTCAAGCCACAGATCGCTTCTACACCCTATGCAAGGCTGAAGGGCATTCACAATATAATGTATTAATATCTATTTGAACCTCTGCAACAAAAGTAGGAAATTTGCCAAGTAATATTTCGTGTGCGAGATCTTATAAGCATGACAGAAACGTTTCAGTTTTGAGGGAAAATAAAATGCTTTGAGTCAGAATGCTCAAAAGCATAGATGGGAAAAGATGTTTTGGACTTCTCAGTGTTGGCCACATTTTTTTTGAAAGATGAGTTTTTATTAATAAATACGCTGGAATGCTGTGGAGAGAGTCTTCAACGTTGAGATTTGGAGACTCCTGTTGCCATGGAAGCTGATCTATAGAAGAGACCTGTTGCTGAACAATTACATTACAAAAGGAGCAGCTGCTCAAGGAGCACTTGCCAGCATCTCAACAGGATAATCTCAAAACAAGCAGAGTTCTGGATAAATTCCTAAACAAAAGTCTAATACTAGTAAAACTCTATCAGAGATAATAAAGATAAGAGTGTTTTAAAATAAACCACCGGCGCACCGTGAGCTCGAACCCAGAGATAAACCTTTTAACCGACACAGTAGTATCATAGATGCACAAGGACACAAACAAGAAAAAGAAGCCACACGCAACTTCCTCCTAATCGATTAAGTTCCTTTTCTCTATCTCTTGCTCGACGACCACCCTCTCATGCTGCACCGCAGGATGCACCAGACCCATATACTAGTGTTGGCCACATTACTAGTATATAGGCTACTAGGTCATGTAATGTCTGTATCTGAAGAAACTGCACTGCTTGATACAACTTGAACCTGCAAAATCATGTCCTTAAAGAAACACCAATAAGAAATTTCAGCACAATTGATTATGAATTGCCAGAGAATGAGAAAATTGATCTGCAAATGCAAGCATAACCAGTTTTTCTTCTTAAGCAAAACAAAGTAGATTACGTTGGATCATCTTTTGTAGTGAGCACTTCAAGTAGTGTAAACCTAGGGTTTGAGTGACAAGTTCTGTATTGCAGTGAGGAAGAGGTAATCTGCACTCCCGAGGGCTAGATGCAACAAGTATTACATGTAGATCCAAACCTCAGGATGCAGATTACCCGGTCCTTACCAATATTAACTATGGGAAGAAGATAAATGTTGAAGGAAGATCAAAGGAAGAGAAGGAAAAACACAAAGGCAGAGGTTGAGGCCTTCCATGCATGAATACAGAAATTTATAATGGCTCCTAAAGCTAACATAAGATTTATTCCAAAATATAGAATAAAGGGGGATAAGGTGCTCCAATGCGAATCATCGTTGATTCTGTTCTTCTCAAACCAATGATGGCCCTACTTTTCATAGACAATGATGGCGTGATGATCTTGACTGCTTTTTCCTCATGACCGGAGATCTTCCATGGCTACTTATAAAAGGTTCTCTTTCAATTTATTATGACGCTATTGAAAAATACTGAAAGAAAAGAAAATTCTTTTGCTCAAAACCTATCACTATAAAACAAGAAAGGTCTTAGTCTGCTTGAAGCTTACATTTCCAGTCGAAGAATCTTGAGCTTTATGAACACATCCTCAAATTTGGGGCTCTGTAGCTCTCTCTATCGAACATAATAAAACTGATTAAAAGAAAAGGAATGCCAACATGTCCATGTAGTATCTGGTTTCATGGTCTACATCGGCTTTTATGTGCGTAGCATATTCTATTCTTGTGGCCATTGAAAGGCACCTTACTGTCCCCATCTCGCAAAGGGCTTGTTTGGCTAGGAAGATAAGTGAAGTATGCATATCAAGACTCAAACAAGGAGTTAACTAATCAATAGTTCCCTTGTCATCCTGCTGTAGATCGTTCATG